TTACTTCACACTCGAGACGAAGTGAAAACAATGGACTTCACCATGAAGCTGGATGAACCAGCTCCGAAGAAGGCGAAGACCGTGAAGTCGGCCGGAAAGATAATGGTCATAATTTTTTGGGATGCACGCGGTATAATTCATATCGATTATCTTCCGTCAAAGCAAACGATCAATGGCGATTACTACGCAGCCTTATTGGACCGTTTCAACATCATTTTAAAGAAAAAAATGTCCCCATTTGGCGAAGAAGAAAATGCTCTTCCATCAAGACAATGCGGGTTAACATGTGCCCGGCACCGATGGCCAAATTCAATGAATTCCTTTACGAATTGCTTCCCCATCCAGCATATTCACCAGATTTAGCCCCCTGTGACTATTTCCTGTTTCCAAGCCTGAAGAAATGGTTCGGAGGAAAGAGATTCACCACCAAAGAACAGCTCATCGCCGAAACAGAGACTTATTTTGAAGAGTTGGATAAATCATATTATTCAGACGGCTTGAAAAAATTGGAGAATCGTTGGATTAAGTGTATCGAGCTGAAAGGAGACTATGTTGAGAAATAAAAATAAATTGATAAAAAAAAATGTATTTACTATGTTTTTCTAAAAACTTATTTACTTGCCCTCGTATTATCAGTACTCGATTTTAAGTACTGCTGTTACAAATAATATTACAAATTTGATATTAAGTATCAATAAAATCAATAGTATATTAATAAAAGTGACATTTCGGTAGTAATTTGAATTTATCTTGAAGACTCCTACAATATTATAAAAAATGGTATGGTGTTATTTAAAAAATTTAAGACGGTTTTGATTTCTTATGAAAAACAAATTTTTTTTATTACATGTTGTAGCTTGTAAAACAAATAAATATACATCTTCTAATTTTCTTTTTAACTGTCGAAAGTATCTGAAAAATCGTTCATTACGCTAAACATTCTGTACATTTATTTATTATATGATTTATTATATGGCTTTTTGAGGGAACTATCCATGATTTTGGTTTGAAAATCCCAGCGATCTAAAAGTTATTCAATTTTTAAAGTTTAAATTTGCAATATTGATATTTCCGTAGAGTTATATAAAGTCATTTTAATGAAGTTGATGCTAAAAATAACGATATAAAACAAATAAAAAAAATCCGATAGATAACCCGCAAAATGCATAATTTCTGTATAGAAAGTGCTCATGAGTATTATTAAATAAAGAAAAAGTAAAACTTCAATTTTTTCTTTCTCAATTCTACTACCAATCAAGGGCAATGTCTTAGATAGTAGAGATGAATTCGAAATTCTTGAATAATATTATAGATGCTGTACAGCACCAGCATTACTCAATATTGGTAAGATAATTAAGTACTACTAATATCTTAGTTAACATATGTAGTTGCTTGGTCGCGTTAAAGTGCGAATTATTATCGAAGTCTGAGAGGATGAGAATGAATCCTTCCCCAATTACATTTACTATTATTGTCGTTTTATTATCGATTTTCTCATGTCGGAGGTTAAAATCGTAAAATTATTCTTTTGCATGAAGATTTTTTTTTGCCTATAGAAATTAATCCGTGCGAATATAGAAAACTATTAAAATGTGAATTTTCTTTTTTCATCCGATATCTAATTCAAACGTTTAATAGTCGTTAATGAAGAATTAGATATGATGTCAAGAAAAATCCTAAATGCTTATCGATATTTTTCACTGAGAACGGTAATCATTATTCCGAGGATTAACTTGGAGACAGGGAGAAAGTGATTGGAATGAGAGCAAGTTTGTGGTGAATCGAGAGAACTAAAAACTTTCTGAACCAGTATTCTTCGCGGATATGTAGATTGACTAAGAATGTAATATACGAACAGGGATGTAATGAACAAGCAATTTCGTTGAAATAAGTTCCTCTTTGTGAACTGACCTCGAAGGTGGGTGGAACGTGAGAGCAAAACTACAACCGAGAGTTCCTTATATAGTATCTCGATTTGTATGCGTATATGTTATATAGAAATCAAGAGAGAGAAAGAGAGAGAGAGAGAGAGAGAGAGAGAGAGAGAAGCTCGATTGTCGCGTAGATTGCCGCATTCACGTTTGAGTCTCTCGAGTTACTAGAACTGGTCGAAGTAACTGCCTCATATCTTGTTTGTGCGATCAGGTATCCTTGAATTCATAGCGTGGCCGTATAGTCGCACTATTTGCAGGGGATTTATTTTATTACGTTTACTTTTTCAATGTCGATAGAGAGCTTTCTTTACGGAGAGCTTATTTACTATCGGTGGTCTCCATAATTTAAGCGTATGACTTTTCGTTTTTGTTTCTCTCAGTTCGCCAGTCAAATCAGTGTCTGATATTAAAACATTTCCATATTGAATAAACTTTCGCTTCGCGTTGCTCCTTAATCGGAAATGTAGTAATAGTAATCTAATATTATATAATAGAGTTCTGTTGTTTCGTGCTTTATTGTTTGCTCGTTGTTTGAAGCGAACGGAATTGCGATCGATCGTTTTTTCGCGGCATGATAAAATGTTTCTTTTATGTACGCAGGTGGTAGCACTTTCGAGAAGCACGATCACTACAACGGTTCACTGCTGCATTTCTATCGTGTCGAAAGGCGACAAATGGGGGCGTATCTCTGCATTGCTAGCAACGACGTGCCGCCAGCGGTTAGCAAACGGGTGACACTCGCTGTGAATTGTAAGCTCCTTTCGCTCGCACGATTCGTTCTCCAATCCATTTCAATCTGATTTACAAATTACGGAAAATAATTTGCTAATATTTTTCATATAATCAAGACACGTTATCGCGATTCAAAAGAGAAAACAGTTAAGGAAAGCTTCGAAAATGAGACAAACTTATAAAAAGAAGAAAATAAAAATTTGATTTATTTCACGAATATATATACAGTAATTTAACAAAAATGGAACTCCTTGTTTCTCTCCATACAATTTCTAAAATATTTCTAAAATCTATATTCGAATACTTATTCTGGATATAATATTAGTTTCAAAAGCTATTATTTTACGCCTTGAAAACTTGTGCTTAAGCTTCAATTATGCGATGGAAATAAAAGGAAATTTTTTGCCAAAAAAGCTTGATTTCGACATGCATATTCAGAAAAGAATTAAATTTTCATTTCCTTCTTAAAACGAGCTCTATCTTTGAGATTTCCTTCGTACATTTGTAAAAAACTTCTGCTCTCATTTCCTAAACTCATTTTATTTCCATAGTCGCACCCGTCGTAAAAGCACCTAACCAGTTATTGGGCGCTCCTTTGGGTACAGACGTGCAGCTCGAGTGCTACGTCGAAGCGTTTCCGAATACGATCAATTATTGGGTAAAGAATCAACGAGGCACGGAAGACGAAATGTTATTGGAAGGGTGAGTTCTCATTCGTTATTTTCTTAAATGAATAATCATATGTGATAATATAGTTTAAGATATCAAGTATTCATATAAAATATGCTACTACAATATTGCGGAATAACTATAAAAGGATTATGTTTAGTTTCTTATGTAAATTAAGGTTCCGGGTCGTTGAGATATAGCTAATGGATTTGATTGTAAGGCATTCAAAAAGGATAAAAAAATTTCATAAACACAGCCTTTACATCTTATAGTGATTCCTTATAATGATTCTCCTAAGTGTTAGAGCTTTCCAAAGTTTGCTATTATGAATACGAGGTGTGATCAAAAAGTAAGGTGACTTTTCATTTTTATAAAAAAATATTTATTTATTCATCCAAAATTATGTTATCCCCTTCAAAATAATCCCCCTCTGATACAATGCACTTGTGCCAGCGTTTTTTCCAGTCGTCAAAACACTTCTGAAATGCACTTTTGGGTATTGCCTTGAGCTCCTCCAGCGATGCAGCCTTAATCTCCTCAATCGTCGCAAATCTTCGTCCTTTCATGGGCCTTTTCAATTTTGGGAAAAGGAAAAAGTCGCAGGGGGCCAAGTCTGGTGAATACGGTGGCTGAGGCATGATGATAGTATTGTTTTTGGCCAAAAAACTACTCACTAGTAACGACGTTTTGGAACGCAGTTTTGGAACGAATTTCGCTGACACACGTGTCATACCCAAAACATCCGTTAAAATTGATTGGCATGAGCCAAACGATATGTTAAGATCATCAGCTATTTCTCTAATCGTGATTCGACGATTTTTCAACACAATTTCTTTCACTTCCTGAACATTTTCGTCGGTTTTTGACGTGCTGGGGCGTCCAGAGCGAGGTTCATCGTTAACATTTTCTCGGCCCTCTTGGAATAACTTATACCATTTATAAACATTTTTTTTGCTCAAAGTTGACTCACCGTACGCCACTGTCAACATTTCAAGAGTTTTTGAACACTTAATACCATTTTTTACACAAAAATTAATACAAACTCTCTGCTCCATTATTTTCAAAAGCAAAAAATCGCCGAGCACGCAAACACGAGTCTAACCTTTATACCTCTCACATAAAAACAACACATGCTATATAGTCAAAACTGTGAACATATGATCGTGACGAGTGTACCAATACAACAACAAAAAATTTTTTAAATTAGAGTGTACAGAGCGCGCGAAATTCAAAAAGTCACCTTACTTTTTTATCACACCTCGTATGTACGTGGTGTGCAGATAAAGTTCGGTGAATTTTATGAGAAAATAGACACAACTTAATTAATATACAAATGATCCTTTTTGTTCTTCAAAGTAATCCCCATAAAGACAATACATTTCTGATAACGTTCAACGTTGTTATACAACTTGTGGAAACTCAATAAAAATACATTTTTGAATATCATCTTAAGTTTTGTTATCACACAATTCTAAGTAGAACGAATAGTGTGCAGAAATCATAATAACATCATAAAGGTATCATGATCTTATTTGTTATAAGTTTATTTTTAAGTACCAAATGTCATTATGACCTATAACACAGGCCGACAAAATTTAGGGGAGGGTCTTGTGCTTTGAATTTCGAAAAATGTTGTAGGATTTTGATGCGCTGAAAACGACTACGTTGTTCGTTTTTTTCTATCACCCTCCATTTGTTAAATAATCGCAAAAACAGTTTTTTCCGGAAGTAACTTCTTTATTAATTTTTCGTGATTAAACAAAAAATTATATCGATGTCTGTTTTGCGGCATTTAACTTAGAAATGTTCCAACAATACTAAAAATATTTTGTCAATACTTATAAAAATATTCTAATCACAAACAAAAAACTTTGGAAAAATTGTAAAAAAACCGGAAAAAATTGACAAATTTTGAAATATAAAACCAAACAATTTGAAAGAAAAAAATTGTAAAAAATATCTGACAATTATACTTATAGCTGTATGTATTTAATTTAAATTCTTTTTTTTTTTTTTAAACTAATTTCTGACTATTTGTTCAGAAGTTATCGAATTTAAAACGCCAAAGCAGCTCGCGCATCACTTACAGTGCGTTCTTTCGAGTCTGACACATAATTACCGAATACAAGAGCATGTTGTTCAGTCTTTTTTAGTCACTGATTTCAAACCTGAAGTAAAAAATATATAATTCAAAATGACGGATTTAATATAGAGAACAAAAATTTTTAAAAATCCATACATGAAAATCGATATTTGGTGATTTTATAAGTCTCTGATTACTTATATTGTAATCACAATTGTTGAATTGAAAATATAATAGCAGATCCAATGGCAATGAATGATAAGTATTATCCATCCTATATATATCATGTGGAGATATCATCTTATTATAATAAGTCTGTAGATAATCAAAATAGTAGTTTCCGTACAATCGCAAAGGTCAAGCAAGGCTAGCCGCGATATGCGATAGCTTCGGATGGGTGATCGCTTAAAAGAGTCATAAAATTAATTTAAAATAATAATTCAGGAAAAAATATTTTTTGTTACACACCCAATAGTTACTATTCGCCAAATTACAGTTGACCAATAGTTACTATTGTTCAATAGTATCATTGATTCATATTTCAATCATATTTTTTTATAACGAATGTGTATACGTATGTTTAACGAAGATTCAGAGTGATAAACAGAGCAGTAATCGTATAACGATGGTTGCTCGATCCTGTAACAGGTGATACTAAATACAATGTTAATAAAATAAAAACAAATGTTTTCATATTTGAGTGAGATGGAACGATAATGTAAGCCACTGAATTAAAGATATCGATATTTGATATTTGATATTTGGAATTAAAAAGTCTGTATTATCAACATTGATCAAATTTGATCATCGCATCCTTTTAATTTAAAGAAGATTTTTACCAAATATAGAGCTGAAAGTTGTCATCTGAGCCTTTTTCGTGTATCAAATCTCGTTGGGTAATGTTTTTGTGGTTCTTTTCTATGCTATTCGCTTAACAAGGACGAACAATTAAAGTTGATCAATGAGGTTTGATATATGAAAAAAGCCAGAATGTTCATTTTCAGGTTTCTCTCTGCTTTTACAAAGTTTTCGCAAGCGAAACGAACGTTGTCAGAAGTGTATTGTCTCTAGGAGAGATTATCTTGTAGGATATTAAATTTGTCCTGCAAATTTATTGTATAATTATTACATTTGTATATTAATTAAATGATGTTTATTTTCTTATAACATTCACTAAAACTTTTGATCACACACCAATGTACCGATCTTATTTGATTTCTCTACATTCAGGACATTCCTCCCGATGGGTATTACAGATTATACTAAAGACATTAAAATAATATCTGAAATGTATTTGATATAGTTCATTAATTCGTTTAAGTTCTTGAACGCGATCTGTGTCGTTAGAAAAATTCAGATATAATTGTAATGACGGTGATGCCTTTGAATGTGTCATACGACATTTAGGATATGCCCAAAATCTTGATTATCCATATGCTAGCAAGAGCAACGATGTTTTTCTAATTTTAAAGGCATACTTCTTTAAGGACCACGAAACGCATTGGTCACAACGCAGCAATGTTATGATTTTATAAATCTCGAAATCTCTAACATCTATAAGGCGTCAAATTATACAGGATGTACAAAAAATCAGGAAACGGTCAAATATATCGAAAACAAAGCATTTTTAAGAAAAATGTTTCAGACAAAAGTTGTAGAGTTTAAAAAGATCTATTCACTAATCACATCCGCTTGATCTTGGATGCCGTCGCCAAGTTCAGATCAAGGTCAAATTGACTTTTTTAAAATGGGAAACCCTATTTTAAATGCCAGAATCTAATAGCTGGTATCAAAAGCTTTCCAAACACTATAATAAAGTTATTTTTCATTACATACTTTTCGAGTTTTAAGGCTTGAAAGTTACTGTTATCATCGGCATTATCATTACGCAAGATATTCGACCGATGGATAAAACTTCTTAAATGTTGTTCAGGATCATGTTCTGAATAACATTTGTCAAGATAAAGGCCATTGGTTGTACCTCTTATTTTCATTTTTAAATAGAAATAAATTTTTAATTCAAAAATGAAAATAACGTGTATTAATTCCAATGGTCTTGATCTTAACAAATGTTATCCAAAACATGATCCTGAACAATATTACAACTTTAAATACAAAGCGCCTTCCCGGTCCGAGTGTTAAGATGTTGAACTACTATCTAATATACATTCAATTAAATTGAATTAATATTTCAGAAATAAATTGAGAGCCGATGAAATTATCGGATTCACACAATCAATCTGAAACAAATAATCCCCCCAAATTCTCCCAAATCTTAAAAAACTGTAATAAACTTATTGCGAAAAATATTGCCTCGGCCGGGAGTTAAGGTCTCGGTAGTCTAAAGGCTCAGGACGCTCGCATGGAATGCAAGAGATCCGGATTCAACTCCCAGCTGAGGCAATATTTTTCGCAATAAGTTTATTACAGTTTTTTAAGATTTGTAAGAATTTGGGGGGATTATTTGTTTCAGATTGATTATGTGAATCCGATAATTTCATCGGCTCTCAATTTATTTCTGAAATATTAATTCAATTTAATTGAATGTATATTAGATAGTAGTTCAACATCTTAACACTCGGACCGGGAAGGCGCTTTGTATTTAAAGTTGTAATATTTATATAGACGGTCTTGTTTCCAATCATATTCTGAACAATATTCAAAAGGTTTTAACCGTCGATCGAACACCTTGCATTGGTGGTTTAGTAAATGTCGAGGCTTATAACTCGAAAAGTACTTAATAAAAAATAACTTTATTATAGTGTTTTGAAAAGCTCTTGATACCAGCTATTAGATTCAAAAAGTAGGGTGTTCTATTTAAAAAAGTCAATTTGACCTTGACCTAACCTTGGCGACGCCATTCAAGGTCAAGCGGATGTGATCAGTAAATAGATCTTTTTAAACCTACAACTTTTGTCTAAAACATTTTTCTCAAAAAAACTTTGCTTTCGCGAAATATTCAACCGTTTTCAGACTTTTGATACATCCTGTATATAAAATTTCAGCAAAGGTGTTAAAGTTTTTTAACAAGATAATATTATAGGAAAGTTTTGTTTTAAAAATATTACATATAATAATTGTGATAATTTAAAATAACCAATCACTAAATAGCACCATATTTTTTCTGATTAAGATTTAAAGTTGACTAATAAATTTATATAAAAATTTGTTAATTGACAATCAATTGTTATTAATTATTATTGAACGATCATTATATTTAAAAAATTACTATGTTGAACTTTTGTGAATTTCTGAATATAACCGATGTAGAAGATAGACGTGTCTATGTCTTCAATATTGCTACAATAACATAAATAAAGTAACTATTCAAATTTTATTTCCGAAATCAGAAAAAAGTAATACCATTTAGCGATTATGTTTTAATATTACATGTATGATTTAATGTTATAATACATTTAAATTATCACAATTATCGCGATGTATTAGTATTTTTATTACATTTCGTTTCTTCTATACTATATATACATATATTCCGGATGTCCCATTCTAAATAGTACATTAAGATTTTTCGAAAACTATGGATACGAAAAAATGTTTTAATGGAACATAAAATGTTCTATTAAAACAAATGGATGTGATCTTGACTTGATCTTGGCGACGCTATCCAAGGTCAAATTAATGTTATCACCTTATGTTCCTCTCCGAATACAACTTTTGTTTAAAACATTTTTCCGTATCTACTTTAGTTCTCGAGAAATGTTAGCATTATTTAAAAATAAGATACCTTATATATAGAATGTCTCAAACATACGTTTGTCTTTAAAATGACATATTCTTGACATAATTCTAAGACAATTCTTCCTTTGCAAAAATTTTATGCGTAGCTTAGTTTTTGAATTATAAACGAAAATAGTGAGCGAATTATGGATTGCGTACGGAAAATAGGCAATGCATTGTCCGACGCGGGTACTCAGCTACTTGCTACGCGTGAAACGCATAACACGACCAAACACGATGATACGTGCACGTACACACGTACCCCTCCCCCACTCTTCCCCTCCTTCCCTGCCTCTCTCATCCTTTCCCTGCCTCTCTCCCTCCCTCCCCTTTCCTTCCTCCCTCCATCGCTCCCTTCCACCCTCCCTTCAATTCTGCTTCGTAGTCTGCGGAAAGACCGTTTGCAGAAGCTGCAAACAAACCGCATTATCATCATGCAAGGTGAAGTATATATCGCTGTGTGAAGCCATCAGAGAGGGACGATATATCCAGACCCTGTGCAAATTCTTTGGACTAGATGTCGAGACCTACGACATGTTTGAAAACAACCAGTCTGCCATAGCAGTGGCTTCGAAGATACAAAGACAAAGAGGGACAAGTCAATCGACATTAAGTGTCATTTAGTAAAAGAAGCGATCAGAAATGGAGAGATACAATTGAAATACATCAAAAGCCAAGACAATATAGCTGATATACTGACGAAACCATTGAATGCAGCAACATTCGTCGGCATCAGAAAGAAGAAGGGAGTCATTGACCTATTATAAATCTATCCGAAATCAAAATTCAAAGAGTGTAGGAATCTGTCAATTTTCCTTTCTTAGATTTAATAGTGGCTGCAAGTCTTTTACTTTGTCTGTAATATAATGGTATGTTTTTATTTAATTATATATTATTATTTTATGTTCATTTTGTACACGCGCGCTAGTACTGTAACGCGGTCTTATCGATCTAATTTTAGCGCGCCATCTAAACTTTGTAGCATCGTGTGCAACTTTTTCCTTTTCGCGCCCTACGTCAGACATATTGT